GGGAGGGGGCGGCTGGGCTCCTCACAGCGCTGTAAGCGACCCGTTGGTGAGCATCCGTTCCTGGGCCGGGCAGCTGTAGTTTGTGAGGTGAAGGGGGTAGCCCGGTCCGTGCTGGTGACGGTGTTACAGCGTCGGGTAAAAGAAACCAATAAAACTCACGGTTTATATTTATAAGTATGCGGGGGAATGTAACGTGGCTTACTAGTGGCTCAGCTGTTTTGTGGGGAGTTAGGTAATGCAGCGGGGCTATGCATGGAGTTGTCTCCCCAGATCTACGACTGGTGTATGCGCGCAAATCCAAGGTGAAAGGTAAGGTTTTCTCTCTTTAATTTCTGTCATCATTAGTACACTCTTCAAATGCCACCTAACCTAATAGCAGTCGGTTACGTTACGTATGTGTATGTACACGCACTGCTACATAGCCAAAGCCTGTGGTGGTGGCAGTTACGGGGGGAAGGTGGAACAGCAGCCATGCATGATGAGCTAAACTTTCACCCTGCTCCCTCCCGCCTGGGTACATAGGGGCATTAGTTTCAATTTCGGAATTGTGCTTAGATTTCTTTCTAATGACAGATAATCATGTCTCATCCATCACAAGGTTCACATGAAACTCTCTGAAGAACAGATGAGGACCAGCATTCTGTATTTCATCCACAGGCAAAACTGCTCTTTGAGCTCAGTGCAGACCTTGCCCCAGTCTGAAATGAATTTGGTCTTCCACTGAATGAAAGAGAGCAGAAGGGAAGAAGTCTGGTCTTGGCGAAGATGCAGGTGCTAGCATGGAATGGTGAGTGTAGTCCTTGCGCCCATGACAGCATAAAAGTATAATTTTTGGGAAGTTCATTTTAACAAAAGTTCCACTCATCTTAATCAGAAGGTGACTGTGAAGCACTTCTTCCTTTTTCTTTCTTTTTTTTTTTTTTTTTTTTTCCTTTTCGGTGCAATGCAATGTGTAAGGCAGCTTTTACCATGTTGGGAATTTGCAGGTTGGCTGGAGCTGTGCTTAGAACATACTAAGTGCTATAAAAATGGTGTTTACTAAAAAAACCCCCATGGTCTGCATATTTCAGTTGTGCACTCCTGACATTTTTAACAGCTGTGTTTTCTGGATTTTAGTTGCTTGCCTGTAAAATATGACAACCTGTTTGCATAAAAGTATTATGAAAGTCAGGTTATTAACAATGAGGAACTCTGGCATAGAGCTAGCTGAACACTTTAAATTAACTCCCATGAAAGAAACTTCCAGTTCTGGAAACTTGATAGAAATGCAAAAACCCTTCCTTTCACACAGCCTCCCTAGAACAAAAGATGCTAAAATTGAGTCAACTGTAATACATACCTCTATATAAAGGCTTAGCTTTATATGCTTATTTTGGATTTACCTGCATATACTAAAGGTCTCTTTAAATTAGTTTGCTAATGAAGATTTAACATTTACTGGATGTAGTAATTAAACATTTTTGTAGCCATGTCAGTTCTTATAAAATTGTAGCTTTTATTCTCAGAGTTTCCAGTTTTCTGATCACTGGCCTGAAGATCTGTCATGTCACTTTCTGCCTGCAGAGGAAAAGTAGAATTTATGGCATTGTCATCTAGTTTTTTTGTAACTGCATGAGTCTACTAGTCCTCAACATTATAGTCTCCATATCCAGGATAAAGCTTCCATAATACTCATTGGTTGGCTCAGCTGTGTTACAGAACATGGGCTTGCTAGTAGAATTTATATCCCTAGCTGCTGAACTCTAAAGACAACTGAGCGTGACTTTTTACAATTGACCTGATGCAGTGCCAGAGAGTTGTTTCTAACTGGTGATGGTACTATCTACAGATTCCTTACTTTTAATACACTACCAATTATGTATAATTTGACAATTGTGATTTATTTGTCCTGGTTCAGGTTTCAAAGTTCGAGATCGGTTGGGGTTTTTTTTTTCCTTCCTTTTTCTCTGCACCATCTCATGTACAATTTAAAATGTCACAGCAGACACTTCAAATGCAACCTGCATGCTGCTGCTCTGCTCAAAGGCCACCTCCCTTTAAAAAGGTCACCTTCAGGAACAGGCCTGATAGTCCCTAGTACTACAAAAAAACCCCTTTCAAAAACTCGTGGTGCAGAAGAGCCTTGCAGCCAGTGTACCTGATAGCTCTTTCAAATGTGAACATGCTGATTGTGCGGAAGTTGATAGCAGGTGATATCTCCTTGTGTGTTTGCTTGGAACTGTAAATCAGACATTATTGTTGATGTAGACTCTCCCTCTTCTTTTTCACATTCTTCTTGCTCCAGTTAATTTGTGACCTTGAAGTCTGTCTTCATTTTTCAGCTAAGCAGACTCTTCATTTTGGTTGACAGAATGGTAAGTCCTGACTGTCATCCATATTTGCCAAATATCTGTATGTTTTTACTTACTCTGGTAGGAGCAGTTCTCAACATCTTTTCCTCATTGCTATGCAGTACTCATTTTACATGCAGAAGGCAATTATAGAATGGCTCAAGCTGGAAAAACATCTCAGGATAATTTCCTGTATCACAAGGGGCATCAGAACAAGAACTAAAAGCCAACTCTAAAATAAATACCTAATCTGTGTGTAACCTAGCTCTGTGTACTTGCATGTCAGCCTATACTAAACATACCTATTAAAAATATAGTGAACGGCAAGGATAGCAGTCACTAGATGCAGTAAATAACAGTATTCTTGTAAGAACCTATTTTTGCTCTGTATAATAGAACTTCCTTAATACACTTTCTGTCTGTCTTCAGCCACCCTCATTGCTGGCCATACTTGCATTTAGACTTCAGCTTGTTTTTATTCATCAGCTGACTTTTAATCTTTTCTCATTACTTCTGGTATTAAATAGATTTCATTAGTTGTCTGAATTTCTTCTGTATTTTTATCTATACCTCATGTTTTGTCTCGTGTGGGACCGATATATATATATATATAGATAAAAATTTTTATTCAGATGTGGTTGCCAGAGTATTCCAGAATATTTTAACTGGTTCAGTTTCCTCTGTTTCAGACCAAAAGGCTGAATCAGCAAATATTTAAGGGCTTTGACATTGGGAAGGTAATGTTTTTGGGAGGAGAATCAGAATTGGTAAATGTTTAAAGAGAATGATTCTGTAAACCTTAACTACTGCAATAACGTTCTCCTAACTGCAGCAGCTACTACTTTAGAGGTTTAACAGCAATTCTACATAGTTCTCTATCACAGCTACTAGTTTGAGTAACAGTCTATGCCCTTTCAGTATTACGTAATTTTCATCTGTGGTAACATTACTTAGAGTAAAAACTCAGTGATTATTTATCTTAATGTTAGCTGGATATTACTTTGACAAAACTTAACTGAACTGTGGGACAACTGATAAAAGGTCTTGAACCCATTCCTTTCACGTTCTCCTAATTTATTAGTGCAGAGGAGGAAAGAAGTCCTTGTGCAAGCAACGGGCACTCCAGAAAGAAGGAACTTAGTAATTGTAAGAGATTCTCGTTCCCAGAGAGATTTAGTAGCTCTGGGTCCACTGAATTGACAAATTACCAGTAAATTTTCATCTGGGGAATGGTGAAGTACCAGCTGTACCAGTTCCATGGTTAAGGGCAGGACTTCATACAAGAATTTGCATAATTTGCAAAAGGTCCCATAAAGTAACACAGGTGATAGCAATTTCACAGGTCACATCCGTGAAACAAATGGGAAACAAAGTACTTCATAGTAGTTTAGGTTGTCCTGGATGAATTTTCAGATGACTTGTACATACCTGTAGCATCTCTTATTTTTAAGGTATTTCAGGTATAAAGAAGGGCTAATATTACAAACTTTCACTCCAGACTGTAAGGCATTTATTCTGTAAAAAGCACTGAAGTGATCTGTGTCCCTTCTGTGATCTGTGAAATCACCCTTTGTATTAAACCAGTTTTAGTTTTGCCATTCTGAAATTTTGTTATGACCTGCTGCACTACGGCAAATGGAGTTATTCATAGTTATTTCAGTCATTGTTCTAATGGACTTACAATAGATGGAAAGCATTTAATTTCAGCTGTTTTGCTTCTGATAATTCATTTTTTACAGCTGTGTTCATCCTTGCCACTTTGCCAAATCTCTCTCGATAGCATATGATGTAAAACTTCCAATCTGCTGCCAAAAGCTTGAGTATAAATTGCATACCAACTGCTTTCCTGTTGATAAAATTTGTTTGTTTTCTGGTAGAAGCCTTAAATCATTGTCAAAATGAGACCATGTAAATTAATTAGTGGGGAATTCATGGGTGTGGTGTAAACCTGAATCCTTTTCAGGACCTCCTAAGGGCCAGTGTCATGAAAATATCTTATTATCACAGTAATGTATAAAAAAACCTAGAACGGGAATTAGGATGTTGAAGATAATTTCTTTTCTTAGTGTCAGTCAGGCACATTTTTAGCTTCTTTCCATATAACCTAGAAGCTTTGGTCTGTATAGCAAGTCCATGTCAGAATGATTTCTGCTATTACTAGATGCATCCTCTCTGATAAAAACTCCTCATTCCTCCACTATCTCTGCTCCATTCTACACTATTTCTTCCCCTTAATCTTGACTGGCAGTACTCCCACTTCGTTATCATGTTGCTGAATGGTGAGTACCTTCTTGTTTCAGCCTGTTCACTCTCTGCTGATCCTCAGGCGGCCACTTCTAATAGTAATGCTGCTCTCTTGGAAACTGAAATGTTTGCGTATACTAATGGCTGTTTATATGATCAAGTGGTGCTTTGAACTTTCTACCCCATTTACCTTTTATTCTGATATATCTCTTTATCTTATCACTTTTCTCAAGATTGAAGGTTATCCAGGTATTTCA